GACGAGATCTCGTCACTGGTCACGGAGTTTTCCTATATTGACTTAAAAAGAGCCCAAGAAGAAGATCTTGTTCTTCACAGAGTGAGAGGGTATGTCCTAACTAAACAGTGGCCCAGCCTAAAACAGCATGATCAACAAGATTGGATGACAGCACTAGCAAGAGAAAGGAGCCGGCTGTTCATTGATGAAGAGGGCATCCTGCTCAGAAAGACAGCTACACGAACACAACTAGTTCTTCCTAAAAAGTTCCACGAAGTGATCTATAGAGAACTGCATGTAGAGATGGGGCACCTTGGTGTTGAGCGGACATTACACCTGGTGCGCGACCGTTTCTACTGGCCACACATGCAACGTGATATTGAACACTACATCACCAAGGTGTGCAGTTGTTTGAAAAGAAAAAAACCAAGTAAACCGACAAGAGCACCGTTGCAGAGTATTGTAACCACATACCCCTTTGAGCTGGTAGCCATTGATTATCTTCATCTGGAGAAATGCAAGGGAGGATACGAGTACATTCTAGTCATCATGGACCACTACACTCGGTTCGCTCAAGCATACGCCTGCACTAACAAGTCAGCCAAGACAGCTGCTGAGAAGATTTTTGGAGACTTTGTGCTCAAGTTCGGGTTCCCCACCAGGTTGCATCATGACCAAGGCAGAGAATGGGAAAACAAGCTGTTTGCCTCCATGGAAACATTCTGTGAAGTTCAAGGTTCACACACCACCCCTTACCACCCGCAAGGGAATGGTCAGGTYGAGCGATTTAATAGGACGTTACTTTCCATGCTGCGATGCTTGACAAATGATGAAAAATCCAACTGGAAGAGCTCCCTTGCAAAGGTGGTACATGCGTATAATTGTACGCGCTGTGAGAGTACTGGATATGCCCCATATTATCTTCTGTTTGGCCGTAATCCAAGACTTCCTGTGGACATCATGTTCAATCTCAAGACAAAGGAACAGAGTGCATCACACAGCGAGTATGCCATCAACTGGAGAAAACGCWTGGAAGAAGCGTATCGCCTGGCGTCTAGGACATCTGAAGAAGGAAGAGAGAARGCAGAGGGGCGTTACAACCAAAAGATCTATGGGACAGATTTGTATCCAGGCTGTAGGGTACTTGTCCGCAATTTCTCAGAAAGAGGAGGCCCAGGAAAACTTCGATCCTTTTGGGAAGATCAGGTCTATGTAGTGACAGAAAGAAAGTACGACGGTGGTCCTGTCTATGAGGTGAGGCCAGAACAGGGTGGTGGGCGAGCAAAAGTTCTCCACAGAAATCTGCTACTGCCCTGTGACTTCCTCCCAGTTGAACAAATCCAGCCTGAGCCACTGAGACCAGCGAAGAGCAAGTTTAAAAGACACGRGAACAAACAACAGGAGCAGCAGCGAGTTGATCTGCAGAGTGCTTCGGATGAAGAGGAGGACTGGAGAGGCATCCGCGGGCCCACAACAGAAGGATATGGGCAGCTGAGTGTCCAGCTGAGAACAGAAGCTGAGGAGTTTAGGCCACTGCCTGCTACCCAGGAACCTGAGGACAACACGGGACAAATGGAGCAGCATCAGGACGCGCAGGAGGAAGACGGAGCAGAGCCGGAGGCTGTCCTTGAGGACAGGCAAGGAGAGGAGCTGGACCACAACAACGCAGAGCCCTCACCTACGGCAACCAGAAAGTATCCTCCCAGAAACAGACAGCCAGCTAAGACACTTACATATGACTCTCTTGGACAGCCTAGTCTTAGCTTTAGACAGTAGTTAAGTTTGGATTGAAGTTCAATCAACCAGTTTGTGTTATTTTCCAGTCTTAAAGCTTGTTGTTGTTTTTT